TCATGATTTTTATCTCTATGACACATCTTCAAATTTCACAGTTTCTTTACCATGCATAATAGTGGTAACAAAATGCTCATAAGAGTCCGGCAAGGAATTCAATAATATTAAGGTCTTATCTTCATCCTTAATATCCTCATCTAAATTTAACAAGTCGGCAATCAATTTATTAAAAGCATCAAGGTGCCTAATCATTTTTTGTACCTTTTTTGTATTGGAAGCGGTAAAGCTTTTTCTTCAAGTGTAGTCGGTTCTCTGCACTCTTCGTCATATACTTGTCTTCCAATTTTTGCCACAACACACTTGCCAATGTCTCCCGCATCACAAAATACTTCTGAGTTTTTGCAAGGCACAACCGAATTGAAGAGCAAGCCCGCAAATTTAATTTCTCCCATTCTGGCTTCGACATAGCTTCCAGCTTCTCTCCCAAAGCGGCAAGTAGATCTTTTTGAGCCAAGACATCTTTGACCTCACATTGCCACATCCCGAAGTTGTTTGTGCCATCAAACTTTTCCACTTCGAACTTTGCATTTTGCGCCGTAGTTCTTTCAAACCCGGAGTTGCTTCCAAAAGGATTCTCATCTTGCCCGTCTGACATCTTTGGCAACTAGACAGTACCCAAGGGCAACCAGTGCTCTGATACCAATTGTTGTGCTAGGATAGCACCAAACCCGTTGGAACCAACTCAAGCTAACCCATAGGAAATATATCAAATGGAATGCAAGAACAAAATATTAAAGACAACAAGATTTTAATGAGGTTCCTCAACAATCAGTGTAACTGGAGTACGTCCTCGGGGCAATAGGAGCTTACCCAATAATCCACTATCAACCAAATGGAAGTTTACAAAGTGTTGGCAAGCTCACAACCCAAACCCCAATACAACCAATAGCTCTCACACACCAAAGAAACAAATAGAGAAATATAATGAATAATTTCCTCTCTATACAAAGCTCAAAGCTATTACAACAACAACTACCTTGGTGAGTGATTACTAACCAAAGAGAGGAGCACTTTCTTCTTCTCTTCAAAGAGGGGCTTCGGCACTACCTCTTCTTTCTCTTCTCTACTGCTGCCTTTATTTTTCTGCTACTCTTCCCAAATGGCAGCTGCTGCCCTAATTAAAACCTAGCCACTATCCCGTGTCTTTCACAAAGGGCCAAATAAAAATGACTTTAGACAAGTTGCCTTTTTTCTTTTCCCCAAAATAAGGAAGGGACACAATGATGTTGTCCACCTTTTCTTTTCTTTCATTTAATCAAAAGGTATTTGCAAGTTGGCCATTGATAAGCTCATATTTATATATATTTTACATAAAATTCACTTGTCTTTTCTTAGTTAGTTCCTTATATTTTTGAGCTATTTACTATGTTTTTGTGTTTTGTGTGATTTATCAAGAAAAGAAAAGAAAAGTAGCACAAGTGAGATATTAAGTAACAAATTCGTCAAAACTGCCTGTGCAGATTAGCTGACTTTGGAAGCATGTTACGAACAGCTCCGAATGAATGAGAGAATGAGCCTTACATGCTTGGAAAGCTACGGATGTTTATTTTCTGGAGCAATTTACGGATTGTTAATATCAGTTTTCTAGAAGAAGTTATGGGCATTGTAACACTGAAAGGTTTAGAAAAGGACTAAGCAGATTTGGCTAATAAAATGAGAAAGTAAAGGCACTTGTTTTGTATTTTTCTTTGTCATCAACACTCAGCAACAAATGGGGTTATGATTGCACTCATTTAGCTTTGGAGCAAGTGGAAATGCACATGCAAAAGAGAAACATGGACAGCTACACACATGAAAACTGCACAGGTTGGAGGGCATACACACTCTACATGGACAGCACACACACAACAAGAAAGGCACGGCATGGAGGGCTTGGCATGGGTAGAAAATGGGTGGATTGTTGGCTGAAATAATGAAGAACATGTGTGTGCAAATGCAAAGGAAAAACACACACACATGGGCAAAGGAAACACACACACATGGGCAGAAAATGGGTTGATTTGTGGCTGAAATGATGGAGGTCATGTGTGTGCAAATGTAAAGGGAAACATGGACATCACACACCCATACAAACTGCACATGCAAGGAATTGAAGTGGTCCTCTCCTTAGCCTATAAATGCATCCACCATTCCCCTTCCTAAAAGAAAGCTTGATCCATCAAAAGAGCTTCATTCACAAACACAATTTCCTTGCCGTGACCTCCATCCATTCATCTAGCCATACTACATCTCACCAATCCATACACTTTCATCTCTTAGCCGTGCAAATCCATTCCATCCATATATCCATACACATCCTAGACACTTGTGCTACAACAAGGTGGTGAAAACAAAGGTCCTTGGCGTTTCAAGCTTGGAACTTTGGAGTGTTTTAGGTGTACTTCGTTCTTGCTTTCAATGTCTACTTTGTTATTTTCTAATTTTGTTGCAATTATGAGTGGCTAAACCCCTATTTAGTTAGGGGGAAGTTTGAAGCCATGAACATGCTTGAGATTTGAATTGATTTCTTCCAATTGTGATTTGATAAGTTGTGATTGCAATTCAATTATCTATTTTATTCATAACTGATTCTTGTATGTTTATTAAGGATGCATACTTAGTTTTCATGCATGAATTAGATGCTAGAATATAAATGAGTTTCACCTAATCGTTACAAGTTTATATTCATGAGTAGTGAAGGTCGTTTATTACAATCGCGTTAATTGAATTCTTGGCAATTGTATCATGCCTTCATAGTTATAAAAAACCTCGTCAACACTTATGATTTTCATTGAACGTAATGATCTCTGATTGTATCTCTATTATGCATTCATATAGGGGACTTTTAGAGAATGATTTGGGTTGTCGCATGCATTCATCCAATTCAATAAGTAAAGGAAAATCTGAGGGTTAATTTGTGCATCATGGTTAATCTGGGATGTTGAGCATCATAGTTTATTGAAAAGCAATTGGAAATCAATTCATGTACAAGTGTGTCATGTGTGAAGAACGGACCTCTAACTAATCCATCATCTTATTTCTTAAATTCGTTTTACAATTTGCCTAGTTTTATAACTTGTTTGTTTGTTTCAAATTCATCAAAACTAAAATCCCCCTTTTACTTTCTTGTTTGAAAGTGTTTAAAATCCGTTTTGTTTGTGTTTTAGAGTGTTTTGAGTCAAGTCAAAACCCAAATTTCGTCCAAAGTTGTGTTAAAGTCAGAAACTACCTAGTTTGTGTTTTTAGGCAGTTTTGAGTGTTTTTAAGTTGTTTGAGTCTTGTGAACCTGTTTTGAGTCCTTTAACTCTATTAAAACGTTTTTAACTTTGTTTTTATGTTTTTGAGTTAGTTTAGAGGTTTTAGCAAGCCCTCCTAATCCCCGGTTTAAAACGATCCCTACTTGCATTATTACTACAATTTGACAACAAGAGGCTTTAATTTGAGTGCTTAACTAACATCGCATCAGCCACTAATTTTGGCCACTATCCAACATACAATTGCAAAGTAGTGGGAAGGGAAGAGGGCGTACATCTCTCTGAAAGGTTGGTTGTCTAATGAAATTTGTGTTATGTAATATTATCTCCTCTCTAAATATGTAATCAGTTGTCTGATATGATCTTTGAACTTAGTTAATCCAAATTGTTCAACAACAAATTGTTGTCCTTATCTTGCATGCAAAATTGATGTCACTATCAGCAGTTATTACTGGTGTAGAGTTCGCATCTCAGTGGGTTGGCATTGTCTTTGGCTAGAAGGTGAATTTCTGCTCTCTAGTTGACTAATATTAATCCTCCTTGGCCTCTTCATACGCAATGATCTATTTGTTTGGACCGCACTCAGAAGATGGCTTTCTATGCCTCTCACATATATCGCGAAGGAAATGTGGTTACGAACAATTTTGCTAATATGGGCTTGTCTTCTCCAACTTTGGTATGACTTGATTCCCCTCCGATGGCGGTTCTTGCTACTTTGTTTTCAGACTATATTAGCTTGTTTGGCTTCCGCTTCTCAAATTAATGTGCATCTTGGCATATAGGTTCGTCTTACTTTCTTGATTTTTTTTTCTTTAACCTTGTGATGTTGCTTGTTCTGTTTTGTAGGTTTAGACCTTTAGGTTCAGCTTAGGAGAGGGGGGGTTAGGTTTCATGTACCCCTCTTTTCCCTGCATCATTGTTGATTTTGTTTCTAAAGGAGTAAGGTTTACATCCCCCTTTCTTTTCATGTATTTGTTTTATCCTTTTTTAATGTATTATGAGAGGTTAGGTTTATGTGTGTACTCTTTTTTTATATCAATAAAATTCCTCTCGTACTGTCAAGGTTTTCTAAAATTAAAAATAAAATAAAAAATCTTTATAGTTTAGTCCATAGTCAACAGTCACCACAAACTGAAATTGGGAAAGCAACAATGCTGCCCCACTAGACAGATTGGGAAATAATTGCAAAATCAATTGAACAAGCAACCCACAAGTCTTGTGGAGGTATTTTTCCACCATATTAAAAAGCCACTAAATCAACTGTCTGAGTTGATACACTTTCTTGACTTTTTGTTTAACTCGGTCTCATTTGGTGGATTGAATTGTAAAACGAGCTCATTTGGTGGATTAGATTGTATAACTTGCTACATTTAAGATATGTTGATGGATTACATTGTATAACTCACTACATTCAAGATACGTTGAGGGCAAGGGCGAATGATTTTTTCCGTTTAGTGCCTAAATCTTCAACATGCCTCGAAATTCATGAGTTATCCAATTCTATGAACGTGGGGTGTGAGATTCTTGTGATCATCCTATTTTTCCTACTTGGCTCTCATGTCAGTCAATGGTGACATTAGTCAACAAAGATCGAAATGGAAATCGGAATATTTGCAGCCCCACTTCCTTTTTCCTTCCTTCTCAGTTTTCCAGAATAGATGGGAGGAGACTTCTAAGTCAAATAATTCATATATATAATGGTCTTGCTATGTTCCTCGAAATTAAGCCACCACACCCATTAAAGTTTTTCAAAAAAAAAAAAAAATGAAAAGTTTGCTGCACTTCTTCCTGTTCTTGATAATTATCAAGTTAGTTCACGGCCGGTGTGATGCAGATGACCTATCGGCATTGCTCCGCTTAAAGAAGATAAGCCCGCCACCAGAAGCTTATGTTCCCCCCAAGCTTCTGTCATGGAATTCAAGTACCAACTGCTGTGCTTGGGACGGTGTTACTTGCAGTACTGACGGTCATGTCATCGGTCTTGACGTTAGCGGTGAATTTCTCGAAGGCGGGATTGACAATTCAAGCAGTCTCTTCGACCTTCAACATCTTCAAAGCCTCAATTTGTCCTACAATTGCCAAGTAGGCAAAAGTTTTCCGATTCCACCTGCAATCGGAAGGCTCACGAATTTGAGGTATCTAAACTTATCTATTACTTGTTATACAGGGCAAGTTCCATTTGCGATTACACGCTTGACAAGGTTGGTTACTCTTGATCTTTCCGGAAATTATAATTTCGGATACACTCAGTTAAAACTCTATAATCCGGATTTAAGCACGCTGGTTCAGAGCCTCACGGAGCTTAGAGAGTTATATCTTGATGGTGTAACTGTATCAGCATGGGACACTGAATGGTGCCAAGCCATATCATCTTCACTTCCAAACCTGAGGGTGTTGAGCTTGTCAGCTTGCAATCTTTCAGGTCCTATTGATCAGTCCCTTGCTAAACTTCAATCGTTATCGGTGATTCGATTGGATGACAATGATCTTCCTGTGCCACTTCCAGGAGTCTTTGCCAACTTCTCAAATTTGACATCCTTGAGTCTCCGTTCATGTTTGATGCGCGGAACATTTCCTGAAGAGCTCTTCCAGGTACCCACTCTACAAACTGTTGACCTTTCCGATAATCCACAACTTCATGGTTCCTTTCCAGAATTTCCCAGGAATAATTCTCTTCAGTCCTTGGTTCTAAGCAACACAAAGTTTTCAGGGATATTGCCAAAATCTATTGGCAATCTCAAAATGTTGTTGATGATAGATATTTCGGGTTGTAGTTTCTCTGGATCAATCCCAAAGTCAATTCAAAAACTCACACAATTGGTTCATTTGTATATGTCATCAAATAGGTTCAGTGGTCCTATTGATTCTATTCACTGGGAAAAACTTGTTAATCTGCTAAATATTGTGTTGGACTCGAATTTACTCAGCGGGATTATTCCATCTTCGATTGTTTCTCCACCCTTTTTGGAGGAACTACTGCTTTCCCACAATCAATTCTCCGGTCAACTCCATGAATTTTCAGATGTTTCCTCCTACTTAGTTACCCTCGATCTAAGTTTCAATAATTTGGAAGGAATAGTACCCTTGTCTATATATAATTTTCAAGGGCTTGAAACCCTTGATCTTTCTTCAAACAATTTCAGCGGCTTTCATTTTAACAGTCCTCAACAGTTGAGTAATCTTTCGGTCATTAATCTTTCGAACAACAGCTTGTTGGTTTTATACAATGGTACAACTTCCTCATATTCCTCATTTCCTCAAATTGTGAATTTGAACTTGGCTTCTAACAATTTGAGAACATTCCCGGATTTCTTTAGAAATCACAACGGCTTAACTGTTTTGGACCTTTCACAAAACCAGATTCAAGGCACGATTCCTAATTGGATTTGGGGGCTCATTTCACTTCTTAATGTCAATCTTTCTTGCAACTCCTTCGTGACTCTAGAATGGCCATTAACTAATTCTTCCGGCGTGTCTGAGCTTGACCTTCACTCAAATCAACTTCAGGGACAAATCCCAGTTTTCCTACCTTATGCCGGTTATCTGGATTACTCAAGAAATCATTTCAGCTCAAGTATACCAACTGACATTGGTAATTTCCTTAGCATGACTAGGTACTTGTCTCTTTCAAGGAATAACTTGCATGGGATCATTCCCGTTTCCATATGCAATGCAAGTTTGGAGTTTCTTGATATGTCCGATAACTCTCTGAGTGGCATGATTCCTCAATGTTTGACTGCAATGAGCAGTCGAGTACTTAGTTTAAGGAGAAACAACCTTACCGGAACAATTCCTGGTGGAGTTCTTGAATACTGTAGTTTCAGGATTCTAGACCTTGGTGAAAATCAGATAGAAGGTCAGGTTCCAAAATCTCTAGCCAACTGCACAGAACTAGAGATTCTAAACCTTGGAATCAATCAGATAACGGACACTTTTCCATGCTTTTTGAAAAACATCTCCACCTTGCGCATTCTGCTTATGCGATCCAATAATTTATATGGAGGGATTGGTTGTTCAGAGACCAATGGCACCTGGCCAAAGCTTCAAATCATAGACCTAGCTCACAACAATTTCAGTGGTGGAATACCAGCAAGATCTTTGACAACATGGCAAGCAATGATGGCTAACAAAGATGATTCCCGATCAAGGGCTAGGGCTCTAGAATTTCCAAATGATCCAGGGAGAGCTGTGGTTGAATTTGATTATTATGCTGCAATAACAGTTATTGGGAAAGGTTTGGAGATGGATCTGCAAAAGATTCTAACCATCTTCACTTTGATTGACTTCTCTGGTAACAAATTCAGCGGATCAATACCTAAGGAATTGGGAGACCTCAAATCCTTGTATGTCCTCAACTTGTCAAGTAATGCTTTCACTGGTGAAATCCCATCATCCTTGGGTAACTTGCAAAAGCTGGAGTCCTTAGACATGTCAAGGAACAAGCTAAGCGGGCAAATTCCACCAGAGTTTGCAGAGCTTAACTTCCTTTCGTTCTTGAATCTCTCAAATAATCAACTAGTCGGCAGGATCCCAACAAGTACTCAGTTTACGACATTTCCCAAAGCCTCCTTCATTGGAAACAAAGGATTATGGGGGCCTCCTTTGACAGTGGATAGCAAAGCAGGATCACCACCACCACCACCAACATTAAATGGAAGTCAGCAAAATTCTGGAGATGAGATTGATTGGGATCTTATCAGTGTCGAAATTGGATTTGTATTTGGCTTTGGAATTGCAGTCGGGTCACTTGTGTTCTACAAAAGATGGAGTAAATGGTATTACAAAGCTATGTATAAAATCCTTGTTAAGATATTCCCTCAACTTGAAGAAAGAATTGGTCCTCATGTTCACATGACTCAAAGGCCAAGACGTTGAAATTGTAATGAGGAGCAATGCAGCTGGCCTCCTTGTTGTGATTGTGTTCTGTAAGAAATAAGATATTTGCTTCTGCTGTCGCATAATTATGAATTACGAGATGTAGTGCGAGTTGTTCTGTTACTTTATTATATATTGCTGTTGCAAGTTTTTAATCTTTTTGAATGCCAGGATTATCAATGTTTTCAAAATGGATTTCAAATCTTCTTTTCGATACAGGAATCATCATTGCTCGCTATAAGATCGACATATTTGTGATTAAATTTTCAAAGTACGGAATTTGACATATAAAACAAAATCCAAAAACACAGTTAAAACAAAATTGGCGATGCAAGCAACATTGAATCAATATAGCTTTACTTAAATCGCGCTTCATTCGACTCTGTTTTTTCTTTTTTGGCTTTGGTTCTTAGCTTTCTTTCTTTCGTGGTTTCTCCTCTTGCCTTTATTCTTCTGTTCGTTTGTTATCATGAACGCTTACTCTGTTTTAGCTTTGATTTTTCCGGATGAAGACTTCGTAGTCGTTGATACAACGTACAGCCGCCACCGCATCAATACTAGCTAAGCGGGGAAATTTATTCGCATTTCGGTGACTTAGCATGTTGAATCTCCCCTTCTTTCTAGATTGGCTGTGAGCCTTTGGCATCTATTACAACACTGTTTATAAAATTAACGGTACTACACTATTTACAAAACTTAACGGTACACTGTTTATGAAACTTAACAGTACTACACTGCTTATGAAACTTAACAGTACTCACTGTTCTAAAAGTCCTCGCCTAGGCCCCACCTAGGCACTAGACGGTTGGTCACCGCCCCGATTAATGCCTAGGCGTTAGAAAATTAAGAAAAGATGCCTAAACCTGCTAAGACGCCCGCCTAGACCGCATAGGCACCTGCCTAGCTCGCCCAAACCCGCCTAGGTTGCGACTCACTTAGACAGAAAATAGATAACTTTTCATTTTGCATTTTATTTTTTTCAATAAATTGTAAGAAACTTGTTGATTAATTAAATGAATACACATTATACGCATGTTCCTCATGTTTTAATTATGTTCCAATACTTCCTAATATATATGTCATTCTATTTTGTAATTTATAATGAAAATATATATATATATATATTATATTAAATATAAACAGACACTTATTTACATAAAAATAATAAATTTACTTAAATCTGCCTAGTCCGCCTAGGCCCCACCTAGCTGTCTAGGTGCTTAGCCCCAGCTTGCCGCCAGACTAGCGCCTAGTATCTTTTAGAACCTTGACGGTACTGCACTGTTTATGAAACATAACGCGCGCTAGGCACACGTGTTTATATTTTATGTTTTTTTTCTTTTTATCCTTATCATTAAATAAAGTTATTAGATGGTTTTTTATTAAAATGCAAAGTTTTAAAACCCTCTCCATTAATTTTTCTTAAAATGAAAATTATTTGTTGCTGGTAAGATGTGTGGCTATGATTTCCTCTGACCTAAACAAATAACATGCCAAATGTTTGGATACAGAGACAAACATACTTCCAGGTAGTGAGATAAAACTAGTGTCTTAAACTGCTCATCCATTTGCTAATAAATAATTAGAGTAAACAACAAAGGGAATTAACTGAATAACCTTCGTTGGCCAACGTTGAATAACATTCAACATCCAAAATATCTCAAATTTTGATATCGAAATTTGTCGAGAGGATGAAAGAGAAAACCAGAAACTAATGAGATATGAATAAATATGCAACTTGAAAACCATACTACAATTTTGGCTTGCACACATAGAGTGCACAACCTATTTGAAACCTCGGCCACCCATCTGTAAGAAAACATTTAACACACTTCTTATTTACAACTAAAAGAAATGTTCCAATGCAGCAAGATTTAGTACAGACCTTAACCAAGATGCGAGAAACAATTTGGGTGCCCTCCCAGCCAACTTTCCGGCATCCATGTGGTCAATGGACCAACTTTGACCCACCGTTGATCCGCCCCTGCGTAGGGGTATGTCTTATGTTCAATGTATTGCAAAACGGGAAGATTCCATTGCAACAGCTCCCTAAACTCAAACTAAAACATGCAATTGTACCTAAAAGGGGAGGGCAGCTAGGAAAAGACATAAAATTTCACAACGTAGTTTAGATGTTGAGTGGGCATAGAGCCTGAAGTTTGTTTCTACTACAACAAATCCCCGAACAAAGAAGTGAGTAAAAAATCTCGTAAGTAGCATGTATGGATGCACATCAGCTGTCTTGAAGATTAGGAATTAGTTGTGGAATAAACGATTAGAGACAAAGCTAGAATGAGTACAAATAACCTACTTGTTTCCTTGATGATGAGTCTGTCAAGCTAACTAAAAGATTAGTAGCTAAGTTAGTAGGTATAAACCAACTGTCTTTCCTTCCCTGGATAAGTACACAAAGATAGAAATTTAAAACTTGAGGTCAGGAAATGGTTAAACTTTCATCTGGGAAATTCTTACCAATTTAGTGCACGTTATACCAAGAATAAATCACAAAAGTATAACCTGCTGAAGTTTGATCAGTCCCAAATCTGCAAGATCCTTGACTATTTTCTTTTGCCTCTCATTCAATGTATTTATGTTATATGCCTAAAACACAAAAAAGCGAATAGAATCAAGAGGTGAGTGATTAATTCCAGGTAGAAACTTTCCATGTGGAAGAAAATACTTTTCTACAAAAGAAATAAAAGGGTGAATACTATGAAAAGTTCTTATGGCAACATTTACTGAACCACTATTCATATTTTAGTCGGAAATAACTACAAACAAAAAAAAATAGAGAACTTTAACGAAAAGCTCTTGGTACTATTTATTTTAACGAAAAACCATATTTTTACACTAAAAATTCAATCATGGAACAATTCTCTTTATCCTTTATTTTGTCCTTAATATTAAAACTCAAAGTTTTCAAGCTCTTTTCATTAGTTTTCCTAAAAAAATATAGGGGAATTCAATGAAGCATATGCTACTCAAAGAGAATAGTCATGTATAAAGAGCATACAACTAATACCTCGCCATTAACATGAAAATTAAGTTCTACCAGGAATGAAATCAAATCTGCAGAATCTAATCCACGCTCCTATGCCAAAAAGGAGAGGTGAGGAGAGACCAGCATAACTACTGTGAAGTAAAAAAAACACAAAATATCAGAACAACATCAAAAGTTACAGACTTGCAGAATCCCAAATTCATCGAGACAAATTTCTTAACTAATGTAACTTCTCTAGCTTTCGTAAAAATATTAGGTCGTACCCAGTACACAAGGCTCCCGCTTTATGCAGGGTCTGGAGAGGTGAATGTCGGCTAATCTTACCCCCATTTATGGAGAGGCTGCTCTCAAGTCTCGAACCCGAGACCTACTGCTCATGGGCGAAGGCACTTGCCATCGCACCAAGTGCGACCTCTTTTCGTAAAAATATTAACTTGGGTAAAATCATATTCCACAAAATCAGAAATTGGGGAGTGAGATTAAAGACCAAAACTTCACAGGGAGGCTTACCATTATATACGCAGGCATTGAAATCAAAACCTTCTTCCGCCATGGAAGTCAAATGTGATGTTTGAACTGAAAATCTATAAGTTGGCATCCTCATCTTCAATACATCCCTTGGGAACAATACAAAGTTGAATCTGCACCAAAATCAACAAACACACATCATCAAATCACATTCTATACATACATACATATAAATTTATATATGTAAGCTGGAACTGCTCGGCGGCGTACTTAGCCTTGCAATACGACGTGTCGGCGGTGTCGAAGCGAGATGGGCACGAAGTCGGAAGTGGACAGGTGGTTCTTGAACTCCTCCAGGGACCCGGGCAAATTGGACTTCGTCACTTCCTTCACGGCCCATTTCTTTGAGACATTGGTGGTGGTGGTGCTGAGAAAACGGCGCCGTATTAGTGGCGGCAGAGACGCACTCCGTGTCCTGAACTTGTGCGGACACCTGCCTGAACCTCCGCCTGAACTCGTCAATGTCGTTGAACGAACTCAACTCGCTCACTTCATAAACCTCGTCATGGTCGTCGCCGTAGCCGACGAACTTCACTCTCAGTCGATCACAGCCATCCTTCCCCTATCAGGACGTCGTACCAGGGGTCGTCCAAGCCAGACCTGAACTCGACCGCCATCCCAACTCCCCCTCTCTCTATACCTCTGCAATCCCTAGTCACAGGCCCTGAGCCATTTCGAGGGCAGGCCTCCAAAACCCAGGGCGAAGCCCACACACGGCCCAAAGGCGACAGCCCAAATCAGGACACGTGTGAGGAATGGTATAACTGTAGATATTTCAAATTCGAAGCCCAATTTCATAATGAAGATAAATAGTTCAATTTGAACCTCGACTTTAGCCTAAGGTAACTAGAAAAATTGTCGCACTCAGCTCCAGATTTTCAAACTATAATCGCCATGAATAATTCACAGAAAAATACATTAAAAAAGCAGTAGGAACACAACTGCATTCAAATGCAAGCCACTCGAATTCCGAACATGAGATTGGCAGGGATCTAATCAGTGTTGAAATTGGATTTACGTTTGGACTAGGAATTGCGATTATTTCTCCGGCAATAGTGAGTTGAAGCTACGTGCAAAACTAATCTAAATTATAGCTTAGTTTGGCTTAAAATTGTGTTCTGCTTTAAAGTTCTTTTTGTTGGGACTAAGCAAGTGCATGATGCAATGCAAATATCAATAAAATGAAAATCCATCAATTTCAACAGAAGCTTCATAGCCATTTGATCCGAAACTACATGGAAAGCTTTAGATTATGTACTTGCCGCATGCATGTAGTTTTTTCTTCAAATATGAAAAAACTAATGCCATGTTATATATGTCTGCTATACAATTACCTCTTCCAGCCTTGAAAAATATACGTTCAGTCATTTAATGGGAACCCGAAGAGCACGGGGGTAGTGTGAATGTGACTGTCAGTCATCTTCCACTTGGCTGTGCTGGTGTTTGTAGGGGCGAAATTTCTCTTTTGTTTCGCTCCTACAAAGAGTATATTAGCAAAACCGAGTCATAACTGCAACAATAGAGTATATTAGCAAAACCGAGTCATAACTCGAAACAAAGTGAGATTTTCCTTCTTGCCATAGATAAGCCTTTGCACGGTGACATCTTACATGGTTTTACATAAAACTAACTACGACGGTAGAGTATTTAGGTAACATTTAAGTAACACACAAGTCTTGTAGAGCTGTAACTATCTGCAATTTTCATTCTCAATCAAAATTAGAGACAGATAAATGAAAGAAACGAGAGAAATCGACATAATAAAGATTGTAATCAACAGCTGTGGGGCACAATCGTGCCTTGTACCTTCGAGGATATGAAGGTAAAAGAGTTTCCCATCGATGAAAGGAAAAACCTTGCACAATCTTGCCTTATATCTGCAATTTTTAGTCTCAATCAAAATTAGTAAGGTCTCTAAATAACTTATAATAAGTTGATATGTGTAAAATAAATAAATTAATAATTAAAAGATACATGGTCGGTTCGATTTAGTTCTGGTCGGTTTCCAAAGTATCAAAACTGAACCAAATTAAAAGTAAATCGGTTTGGTTCCCATTTTAAATTGTTTGACCTTTTTCTTGGTCAAAACCAAACCAAATCGACCAATATGTTCATATCGGTCATTTCAGTCAGTTGGATGTCCACTCCTATCCAAAATATACAGAAAAAGAAGAAAGAAAATAATATAGGCTTATTTTTAGCTACACCCCTTGAAACTCCGTTTAGATTTCACTTTACTCTCTGTAACTCAAAAGACATCACTTTACTCCTTAAAACTCAAAATTCTTTCCACATTGACTTGTGGACTCTCTCTTCTCCATAAAACTTATAAGTCACCTCTGCAAACATATGTGGGACACAACACCTAATAAGACTATGTCACATGATGTAATAAATTAACAAATCTAAGGTAATGTGGAGCGAATTTGGAGTTTTGTAGATACGACTTTCAAGTTTCAAGGGGCAAAATGGGATCAAAACCAAGTTCCAAGTGGCACAAAGGAGTGAAGTATGAGTTCCAATGAGTAAAGTGACAACTTTTGACTTATAAGGAGCAAAGTGATATTAAAATCTAGTTTCAATGAGCATTGCTAAAAATAAGCCAATAATTTATATTGGAATATTTAGAGCACCAACACGTATTAAATGCAAATAATCTAGAAAGCCATATTAGATGTTGTATTATAAAAATCAGATAATGTGGTAGAATTCTTATAAGAGAAAATTATAAAGACATTACAAATCTAAAGATAAAACTCTTTAAGACTAAGAAAAATTTTTGCAGCTTTTTGAGGTCTGTTGGTTTTTCCTGTTCTCGTGGGGAAGGAGGGATTGGCGCATCTACCTAGTCCTAGCAAAGAGCGGTAATGCCCCATCTATTCTAGCAAATCAAGGGAGACACAAGCATCAAGAATCAGGGGGATTTTGCCGATTCCGATTAACTTGTGAAAACAGGGGATGAAACATTTAGGGGAATTTTGATATAGGCGCCCCGTTTTTTAATTTTTTAGACTAAACATACACTCCTTTTGAAAATTTGATCAAACATTTTCCTAACATTTTGGTTATTAATTTCAGTTCCTATTATCCCTATTATCCCTATATTTATGCATTTATTATCCATCTCCTGGGCATTTCGTTTTTTTTTTTCTTTTCCTATTATCCCTATATTTATGCATTTATTATCCATCTCTATGCATTTTTTTTATTGTTTGTTATAATATTTACTTTTTTGTGAATATAGTAGAATATTTATAAAAAAAAGTTGTCAAATTTTATTATTTAGAAGACCCAACACATAGTAAAGATTTGTTTGATTATATAGCTACGTCTAGTTACCTATAATATAAACACATTTAGTTTTATAGTGGATTTGATTTTTTGTATTTCTTGGTACATTTGGAATGTAAATGTACCAAAAAGGTTATCTGATAGAGACATTTAGTTTTGTGGTACATTTGAGATTTTTTGTTCATTTGGTCTTTTAGTACAATAGGAATCTAAACGTACCAACATGATTACCTGACAATGGGCACATTTGGTTTTATGGTACATTTGAAATTTTGGTACATTTGGTTTCTCTGTATATTTGAAATCTAAACGTACCAAAATGGGTACATTTGGTTTCTCGGTACATTTGAAATCTAAACGTACCAAAAGTCGATACTTTTGTTCTCAAATGTACCATAAGTTTTAAGTATATTTTTTATATATCTATACATGAAAAAAATATGTATTGAAGACTTTTTATTGATACAATTTTAATAGAAAGAGTATTTTTTTTTTAAATACTGATAATAAGGAAATCAGGAATTAGTTAATTAATTTTTTTATTTTATTTTATTAAAAAAATGTCATTTAATGCACAGAAGGGGATTGAGGAAATTAAATTCCTATATTATAGGCAATTAGTTGCTAAGCTACCTTATGCCTCTATATAAATGCATTTAAATTAATGACATGTAAATTAAATAAATAGAAAATTATTGAGGTGGCAATTGATTGAAGCACCTTAATCAAATCTTTAAAAGAGATGAATGTTTAATCTAACAACAACAACAACAACAACAAAGCCTTTTCCCACTAAGTGGGGTCGGCTATATGAATCCTAGAACGCCATTGCGCTCGGTTTTGTGTCATGCCCTCCGTTAGATCCAAGTACTCTAAGTCTTTTCTTAGAGTCTCTTCCAAAGTTTTCCTAGGTCTTCCTCTACCCCTTCGGCCCTGAACCTCTGTCCCGTAGTCACATCTTCGAACCGGAGCGTCAGTCGACCTTCTTTGCACATGTCCAAATCACCAGAGCCGATTTTCTCTCATCTTTCCTACAATTTCGGCTACTCCTACTTTACCTCGGATATCCTCATTCCCAATCTTATCCTTTCTCGTGTGCCCACACATCCCACGAAGCATCCTCATCTCCGCTACACCCATTTTGTGTACGTGTTGATGCTTCACCACCCAACATTCTCTGCCATACAACATCGCTGGCCTTATTGCCGTCCTATAAAATTTTTCCTTGAGCTTCAGTGGCCTACGACGGTCACACAACACGCCGGATGCACTCTTTCCATCCAGCTCGTATTCTATGGTTGAGATCTCCATCTAATTCTCCGTTCTCTTGCAAGATAGATCCTAGGTAACGAAAACGGTCGCTTTTTGTGATCTTCGCTAGATTGCTCCGGTCATTAGTGTGGATAAGTATATAAATGGATAGAGATAGGAAAGCAAACACAAGATGTACGTGGTTCACCCAGATTGGCTACGTCCACGGAATAGAAGAGTTCTCATTAATTGTGAAGGGTTTACACAAGTACATAGGTTCAAGCTCTCCTTTAGTGAGTACGAGTGAATGATTTAGTACAAATGACATTAGGAAGTATTGTGGGAGAATGATCTCGTAATCACGAAACTTCTAAGTATCGGAGTGTGGTGTCGTCTTGACTTGCCTTATCTGTCTCATAGGTAGATGTGGCATCTTCTCTGGAAGTACTCTTCCTCCATCCAGGGGTGGTATCTTTAACTGGTGGAGATGCACAAGGTAATGTATCAATTTCACTTGAAGCTTACTTGTGTAGTTTCAGGCTTGGTCAAGCGCGATACAAACCATGTAGTAGGAGTCCCCCAAGTCGCCGAGCTAGGGGGTCTGCTGAAAGAGGTGACAGACAAGGTAAGCAATCAGAGCTCCGACTGATTGTTCACCTTCTCCCCATCTTGCAGCAGCATGAAGGATAAAGAGAAGAAAAATGAGAAGATATGATATGAGATACTTTTGCTTTTGAAGAAGTAACTTTCCACAGGCTTATTCTTGAACTGAGCTGGAGGGTTTTCTGGTTTCCTCCAGAGTATAAGGCCGACTGAAGAATTTGAGGGTCAAAACAAGTCCATCAAATCTAGAGTACGTTCCACCCTGCTGATATGGGATACTTTTGCTTTTGACAGAGTAATGGATGTATCGGCACGTGTGCTGTTACGCTTGTCTCCACATGCTTCCTTGTATCCTTCGCACTTGCCCTATCTGTTCCTCAAGCAGATGCGGAATCTTCCCTGGAAACATAAGATGATGAAGATGAGTACTCGAGAGCAATGCCAGGTAAGTAATCAGGTAAGGGGTTCCAGGCAGTCAGTTCCTGGCTGGAAGCTTGATTCCAAGTGCTGACTGATTGCTCTCTTTCTCCTTGTCTTGCAGGTAAAAACAAGGCCAAAAGAAAAAACAGGGAAAAAAGCATGATATGGGATACTCTTGCTTTTAACCCTGATGATATGAGATATTCTTGCTCTAGTATAGCTTGTTTGCAGAGGTATTATCGGGGGGAAAGAAAGCTGAATATTTCGAAAGGCTTTGTTGGGAGTGCCCTCTCAGATATGATGAAGGGTTGAGCATTTTTGCAGGTCTGCCTGTCCGTTGGGGATGGAGGTCGACATATATAGGAGTCTCCCTAACAACAAGTAGTAATGCTATTCCTTTACCCTGCTTGGTCATAGCACGGTAGTGGGAGCTGCCAGTTTCACATGTTTTAACTCTGTCAGAGCACTTTGAAAAAGTGGTCTGTGGTATCTGGCTCTCGAGATTCGGAGAACGATGCCTCTTCGATTTTTGAGAAAGCAATCATGCTGGGGGTCTGACTCTCGAGATTCGGAGAGCAGTGTCTCTTCGATTTTTGAGGAAGTAATCATGTTGGGAGTCTGGCTCTCGAGATTCGGAAGGCGGTGCCTCTTCGATTTTGGAGCAAGCAATCTTGTTGGGAGTGTTGTCTCGAATGTGAGTAAAGGTTGGACATGTTTGCTAGTCTACCTTGCCACGAAGCACAAAGGTTGACACACAGGGACTTTCCAATTATCCAGCAATGGTACTGTTCCTTTACCCTCTCTTCGATTTTGAGAAAGTAGTCATGTTGGGAGTCTGGCTCTCGAGATTCGGAGGACGGTGCCTCTTCGATTTTGGAGCAAGCAATCTTGTTGGGACTGTTTTCTCGAATGTGAGTA